CTTAAAATGTGTAAGGCTTATTGGGCCAGTTTCTCTAATGTATCCTTTATATGTATATTATCTATCATATCCCATAAGTTTAAACATAAAGAATTATTAACGCATTAAAAAAAAAGTCTATAACTGCAGATTTTCTTGAACTGTATAATTCAACTATATAATTCAGCTGAGAAAAAGGAGCTCGAAAGGGGTACTCTAGATACAAAACGGGAGCATCATAACAAAACGCGGCACAATCATAATTTTATGTTATTTTGTTTTGATTGTTGGAAGCTAAATTTGTAATTTAAATTAAAATTTGATCAATTGCCCAGCCCTACTTAAAAGGCTTGGCTCTAGGCCACTTAAGATTATTATGATTCTTACTTGAAGTTGAGAGGTCATAAAATAGCTCTTCTGGGGGTCTCATTGCAATATCAACATCATATTTTCTGATTGTCGTTTAGAAACTGGCAGCGGAGTGTCAGAGTGCAGGATTCCCAGGCACCCTGATCCCCTACAAATGTGATCTCTCCATTGAAGAGGAGATCTTGTCCATGTTCTCTGCTATAAAGACTCTTCACCAGGGTGTAGACGTGTGCATCAACAATGCTGGCTTGGCCTGTGCGGAGCCGTTGTTGAGTGGCAGGACTGAAGGTTGGAGGACAATGATTGATGTAAGCGGTTTCCAACCATTTCCTACTGTCCATATCTACCACAGCCCACACGGCACTAAAGCAACACACCTCTGTCTGACCATTTTGCAAATATCCACCTTCCCAACTGAACTCCTCTTTTTTAATATACAGAAATTAATACTTAATGACTTGCACTGAGCTCCAATAATTAAATGAGCTACATTACTAAATGAAATATTTTTGAATGGGGGAATTGGACATATTTCCCATCTATAAATTATTCTCAGTTTGTTTAGTATTTTTAACTGTGCCATAGATTCACAGGTAGTGGTTATTCTGCCCTTATTTACGACACTTTTTGGGCGTTCCTTGTAAGTGCCTGACAGCTTTCTTTGTTACTTTGGACTGCTGTAAATCGGCACGCAGGCTAAACAGTGTCTTATCAGTTATTCTTTTTCTTTTCAGTAGCTGTAATTGTATTACTAGCCATATCATTTAAGTTGCAACTCGGCACCCAGGTGTCTCTGGGAAAGTAATTCTGGGTAAATTGCACTGCATTGGCACATAGGTGAAAACGTAAGCCAGGGAAATAGGATGGCGGTGACACTGTTACTTGAAGAACTCAGGAGTGTAACTTGTCAATATCCGTTAATGTACCTACTGTTTATGACACCAAACTGACAATATGGGTCAAACTAGATCAGCACCTTAATAGATAAGGCTAAAAAAAACTCCTCAAGCTGTTCTGTCCTACCAAGGCCTATTCAGTGGGTGTTTTCTTCCAGATAAACATCCTTGCCCTGTCGATATGCACACGTGAGGCCTACCAGTCGATGAAGGAGAGGAACATAGATGATGGCCACATTATCAACATTAACAGGTACAGCTTGATCCCCCCCCATTAGTAAATCTGGTATGCAAGAAGTTTTGTGAGTGCAGAAGGATAATAAGAATAGCGAGCGTATAGTCATTTTTATTCAGTTCCCTCTGTTTATTTTGTCCTTCCAAAAATAATATATCCAATAAAATCTCAAGGCAGAAATAATCTTCTCTGAGCCCTGTAGCCTTTTCAGAAGTTTCTGTTATCCAGTTGCAGATATGTCGTTCTGTGAAATTGAGCAAAATTGAGTTTTGGGGGAAATAATTAGCCTTTATTCTCTGCCCCTACTGCACAGCATGTGTGGACACAGGGTAGTGCCAAATGCTGACGTGCACTTCTACACAGCCACCAAGTATGCAGTGACTGCGCTGACTGAGGCCCTTAGGCAGGAGCTGTGCGACGCCAAGACTCACATCAGGGCCACGGTATGAGCAGGTAGAACCCATGCTGAGTGCTGTCCTGTGCTGCGGAAGAACCCTGGAGCATCTCTGCAGTTCAGTGGAACCTCAGCTGTGGAGCAGTCATAGCTATTAATTTAGACTTGTGAAGGTGGTTTTTGTATCTTTGGAAGTAGTTTTTATTCATGCCCAGTAAAAACAATTGAACAGTTGACTTTTCCTTCTGATGAACTGAGATGCCTTTAAAATTTTTTTTTTTTACACTTTTACAGTGTATCTCGCCTGGCTTGGTGGAGACTGAGTTTGCTTTTAGGCTTTATGACAGGACCCCAGAGAAGGCAGCTGCTGCATACGAGAGTATAAAGGTGAGAATGCAAATAAGCTCTTTTGGTAATGATCAGTGCACTGAGCCATGCTTTGGAGAACCCAGGTCGCTTGGATACAAGAGTAGTACCTGAGGTCAGATGAAGTGCGTTTTCCCTAAAAAGGACATGTGATGGCCCTGTGATTAACTCATTTAGATTAACATTAACCACACAAAGCCGTAGCTTGACAAAACAGGAACTGTGGGTCACAAGCATGGGTGGATGATGCTTGATAATGATGTTAATCATTTTTTGAAAATCCATAATTTAAAGATTAGATTTTAAAAGTGAAAATAGTCTTTTTGAAATAAATTCATTTTTTGAATTTGAATGTATAGTGCAGGGGGGGGTTCTAGCTATTTGTAAAGATCAGGGATTAAGTCAAGTTTAATTGGGGCAAGCTTTTTCTTGAAGATTGACCCCAGGGCTAAAATACTCGGGGCTATAGTCCCGACTGGTCGGACCTAACAACACTCATGATATAGTGTGTATGCATGCACTTTGTTGGGATAAAAAGTATGGAAGATGGTTAGAGACATTTATACATACGTTCATACATGACCTATGCTTCCTGCAAAACTTTGAGTTTGTGTCCTCTCTCTTGTAGTGTTTAAAGGCACAAGATATAGCCAGCGCAGTCACATATGCCCTCAGTGCCCCCCCTCATGTGCAGGTATGCGGAAGTGACATAGTATACGAGCGTATGTGTTGGCATGTTTGTGTTAAGCATATGAGAGTGCATCCTTTGTGTATTGGGCACTACTTATTTAGAGAAACTAAGACAATAATTTTTGGTAATTTCTGTTAACAGAGGGCAGTCTAACAATCATGCCTTTGGAGTGTATGTGAAAGAAACTGGTTGTAAAAAAAAAAGGATGTAGATAATTGTTTCTAGAAGTTTTTGGAAAATGTTTTTTTTTTTTTTTTGCTCATTTATAATTCTCTCATATCCAGGTTGGAGATATTCAAATGAGACCTGTAGAGCAAGTGTCCTAGTAGGTGTCCAACTGTCGAAAGTTGCATCAGTCAAGTCTGCATCGTCAATAGCTGTTTAATATCCTGCTGGCACTTCTAGAGATAATTTGGTTTAGGAAAGCTTGGGGGTGAGAAATTGCCGTAACATAAGAAGTACATATGACCTATGAAAGAATGAATTTTAACGAGTCATTCAGAGTGCAGTGGGAATGTGTGCAAGAATTAAGGTGTTTCTTCAGACTTTTAATGGAAATTACCAGCAAAGCTTCCCTGTCCATACAGTCACTTCTTGGCCACACAATGTCCAATCAATTGCATGGTGGTGGAATTTACACATATTAGGTTAAAAAGATGTTTGAAGAAATGTCCCAGCTTTTACCATGTTGTTCCAATGAAACTTGAATTTTTATGCGGTAACCTTGTTGCACTTGATCAAATTTAGGGGGGAAAAAATCACTAGGTAATCACTAAAATTACTACTCCTGTTACTTAATTCAACACTATTGGCTGTTCCCAATAGATAAAGTTTGTTTTCCTTGTTTAGATGGTTTCCATTTTTCTGCATATGTCATTTTGTGCAGTTTGGTTTATAAATGCAGAACTAATTTACAATTTAGGTACAAAATGAGGTTGGTTTGTTTAAATGTGATTTAAACAGGACATTTCTCCTAAAGATAAACATTTAACACCATGGCCTGGGAGCTCTGGTGAGAATAGAAAAGAGTGAAAATGGAAATTGAACAATCTTTAATTGCATTGTTTATCCCATCTCTTACAATCTGTCAATTTAATGCTGAATTCAAGCTCAATTGAAATATGGAAGGGGGTTATTTTCACTACTTGCCTTTTCTTCATTTATCAACTTGATTTTTTGATTTATAAATTTACTTAGACTTTTATTCTGTATTGTTGTTTGAAATTGTGTAAAATTTCTACACATCCATTTATTTTTTTCCTTTTGGAATTACAGTGGTCCTGGAATATATATGGTATAAATAGGAATATGCTTTTCATGGAGCCTGCATTCACATCGCAACCATAGATTAAATGACAATGTGTGATCATAAACACACAACTCTTTTTGATATTGTGTGAGAAAATGGAGGACTCTGAAGACACTGGAAACCTGGAGAAAGTGCAGAGCGGGGGCTGCATCTCAAATTTTTTTTACTAATTTAACTGGTTTGACCTTTGTCAGGGCAACAGCTGACCCCCTGGTTTATGTTGTATCGAAATCTAATGTAGGCTACTCTAATTTTGGAAATTATATTAATTTACAATGAAGTTCATTAAAGTACAGATTTTAACAAGCTGCAGTTCCTGGGAGAATACTTTTTATCTGCCTAAGTTCCAGATTTCGTGATAAACTATGAACGACCAGCTTAGTCTGTTGAATTCTACGCATATCTATCGGGTTGAGATTACGAAATCTAGTATATATGACATGGCTAAATACGAATATAAACACGTTAACTGTATGAGAACAGTCAAATTCATTTAATATTATAACTCCATCCAATTTCTATACCCGCTTATAGAATAAAATATAGACCGAGTATTTGAACAGCGACTAGAGGTGACTGACATACTGTAATAGCTGAGGTCTTAGAAACAATATTTTACTTTCGTAAAAGTCCTGATGCATAAGCTTATTGCATTTGATCCGCACTCCACAACATATGATGGCGCTATAGATACTGTCGCTTACGATTCGATGAGGTTAACCAGCAAAAAAGATGCGGAATGTGGGGCGGTGCGGAGACTGTGGATATCTGGAGGGAGGAGTTTGATCCTGGGGGAGTGAGCATTCATTGCAACTAGTATTCGGAAGGAACTTCTGGTGTTTATCACGAAAAACTAAATCATAGTGGGATGGGTAACTGTCATACTGTTGGACCAAATGAAGCCCTCGTTGTTTCAGGTAAGGGTATTTATTCGTCACATACCAGCAGATGATTGCCTTTGTTTTGTATGGTAAAAATTCAAAAGGAGCAGCCACAGGGAATGCAGCGGTTTCTTTTAGAGGATCATTCACCTTAATTAAATGAGTTATCGAAAGTCATGTTAACTAAAGAACACATTTATTTATATATATATATATATATATATATATTTTTTTTTTAAGTTGGATTTCTTTGTTATTTGGATTCTTAGTTGTGATTCCAGTATTCTGCGGTAAATAAGTCGGCTTAGATTTCATGCACAATTCCTTTTATGTGCGAGCAAACAAACAAATGACACGACCTCAGCCACGTAGCCACGTAGTAAAGGGATTTGAAACCGCCCTGAAATACATTTACTATCGATCAGACACTTAGCCAGATAGCAAACTTATCAAACCACCCTTGAAACCTATTGGCAGCGTTGCCGGACACCCCTCGAAACTTATTTCTGGCTACGGGCCTGTACGACTGCGTATCTTCTGTGCATTTTAAACGAGATTTAAAATAAGGCAGCTTTGAGAAACAAGGAATAAAAGTCCCAAATGAGCATGTGGTGTTCTGGAAGCTGATATTGTGGAAAAAATCCCCTGCTGCCGCTTTAGTTGATGGAGAAAAACAATCTGCCTTTAATTATAAACATATTTGATAACAGCATGGTACGCCGGTCCATCTCAAGTGTCAATAGCCGAATGGATAGACTCCAATTTAGAAAAGGTGTCGTTTAGCAGGGTTATTAAGTCGTGTAGGGTTACCTGGCATGGTAGCTACATCAAAATACTTGTCATTGTAAGTGCTGTTTTGAACTGATAGAATAAACCATGCAAGAGTTACTTGGCTTTCTTTATCTGGACAGTAAAAACGGCAAAAAGCCCAGCGTAACAGTAACTCTAACATTGAACCACTATTTGTCGGACTTCGTTTTCAATTTAACATAGAGTATGTTAATGTTGACATTAAAGTGAGTCGTTTTTATATCCCTATAAGTACTTTAACTGATTTTTTCCCCCACCTAGACAGTCGTTTAAAATTTGGCTCAGAGTATATGACACTTGTCAATTCGTTTTATGCCCATGATATTAAATTTTACATTTGCTAAAGAGCACACTTGAGTAATTACTGTTTTACGGCCATGATAGATGTTTTTCAATCAACCACATAGTACTGTATACATGGCACATCAGTGACTTTGTGACACCTGTAAAACTCATTTATATATTTTTAAAATAAGATAAAATCTTCTTGTCTAATATGGAAAAATTATTATTATTAATTTTCATATTAACCGCTAGATTACATAAATCTCATAGGCTAATAATGCAATTTGGAAAACGTAATATTTCCAGTTTTAAAATGAGGGACACGACTTAATCATTTTCTTGAAAGCAAAACAATTTTGATGTTAACAATCATTATCATTAAAAGAATTCATTTTTACTGTATAAAAAAATCTATTATTTTGGACAGTTTGAAGCATGTTTATGCTTTCTGGATGCTAAAAAAAAATAAAAATTAAAGGTTCAGTTCATTAATCTTTTTTTTTTTTTTCCTCTTTAGTCAGTGACCCTGATCTGAGATACAAGTCAATAGCAAAGGGCCCATATACACACACATATACACTGGAAATTTAGAGATGCCAGCTGGCCTAACTATTTCTAACCTGTATTTGGAATGTCGGAGGAAGATTATGTGGAGTAAACCTGGACAACAGGAGGAGGACAGTCAAGCTCCATGCACACGTAGCAAGGACTGGAATCAAACTCACAACCCAGTGCCACTTAGCTTTAGTTCAGTCTTAGAAACAGTGTATTATATACAGGGTTTTTATGTAACATTTTTAGTTAGGAAACAGTTTCAGCATTTTCAGGAAGTAGAAATTTCCCTAATTGGAAGTACTGGCACTTACAACTTAAAAAATATGGAATTACAAAATGTATATCTACATTTTGTGCTTCTCTGCAATGTCAATTACTATATCAACCCCCATGATCCAGTTCCCAAAGAATAGAAGATAGCGTGCATGCACCAGTGCATGCACCAATTATTTACTCAGGGCATGCAAATAGTTCCTGAGCTTTTTTGCATTGTCAGTGAGTGAATTTCTCAGTCAAAGCTTTTGAAAAGCGAATGATCCAGGATGAGAGGTTGTGTTGACTGAATATTTTCCATCATTGACAGAATACAGTACTGTGCAGCCAAAGAAAATGTTTAAATGATCTTTATGTTGGTGTAAGACGATGCTTTTATCCCTGTCAAAGTGTATTACCTTAGCTATTTTAAAACCCCAGCTAAAATCACCCCATTATTTTCAGCAACCATACAGTACACCCATGTATTTTTTTACTTTTTACTCGACTACTAGCTAATGGATATCCCGTTTACTTTTTTTTTTAACTAAAGTTAAGTGAGCTGGTCGGGAAATTTAATAAATACATGGAATGGCTGAGATACCCCTGAGGAGAGGTTTGAAAATTGAAGTGGTGCTCCAATAGCCATTCAACTAGACGTCAGTAACTTTTGGAGAACAGAAAAAATTCTTGCTAGTTTTTATTGTATTACACTTACTTTGCATACTGTATATTCTAATGTTAATTTTTTTTTTCTTGTTCTGAGAAAATGTGCACGTACTACCCAGATAAACAGCTTTAAACATTTCTTTTGACTGCCTAAGACTGCATTGTAGTGTATTTTTAACAATAATGGAAAAATCTGAAAGCTGTCATTTTGACAGATTACAAAACTGAGGGGCATTCTACCAATACTAATTCACACAACTGTCCAGTCGACAATGAATGTGCATATTGATTAGGTGTAGTGTAGTCTTCTTTGATTTTGCGTGCATGATCTCTTGTCTTATACCAATAAACATGCTGATTAGCTGACCACAACCACCAGTGCTAACTTGAAAGTTATGCGGGAAGGCTGGGAAAAGAGAAGTAGTAGCAAAAATTGAACATATGGAATTTTTTTTTTGTACCTCAGTTATGTTTAATGTATTAATGAATACCTTTCTGCTTGGGTCTCCATATTTCTTCATTGAAATCAATAATCAATATACTTTTGTCTGATATTGCCAGTGCTGACAGTGAAATTCACTAGCGCTTATTGGTGGAATAACATTGGATTGTTTATTTTGCGGAAAACAAAAGATCGATCTACTGGCCAAATGACTAACTTTAGTTCATCACAATACACCTCTCAGTAATATTTTAGATGTAATACTAATCAGCTTATCAAGTTGTGACATAAGCAAATGTCTGTATAGTACTGAAATGCCAGCATCGGGCAGATTTTTCTGGGTGTAAATACTCTGGTACGCCTGTTATGTAAGCCCTGTTATATAAATATAACAAGCTTATGTAAGGATATAAATATCTCTTAAAATAAAATCTGTTAAAATAAAGTCATTGAAGAAATGGAAAAAAACCTTCCAATATATTCATTGGCCAAGAGACCATTATATACAGCAATATTGCATAAAATTGTCATGATACCTGCATATTCCAGTTCTTAAATGGTGACACTGTAGTTTCTTGTGCCATGACTGGTTTGTTTCGTGTAATTTTTTTTAGCAGAATGCATGGAATTTGTTAGGAGCTCTGCCTGTAATAGGCATAATAGTTCGTTCTCGTCCCCCTAGTACATTACTAACAGGGTGTGAGACTTGTTGTTGATTGTATGTGTGTATTTATTATTATTATTATTATTATTATTATTATTATTATTATTATTATTATTATTACTATTAATTGAATAGTGAGCTTTGGCTAGGATGATTTCAGGCCTTATGGCATGGGACAGCTCCTTTTGGATTTAGGGTGGTTAGGACTGGGAGTTTTTCCAAAAAACTGTCTTGTTTGTGAATTATGATACAGGAACAGACCCAGCGGTACAGGATTTATTGTTGAAATTCTGGCTCTTCATTCTGAGAACATTCTGTTATATGTTTTAATAAAACATAATGTAATTCCAGACGGGATCAAAGCATGCATGGAAAATACACTTTGTCATTGAGTACACACACATTTTTATTAATCAATGCAAAAATACATACAGTGGTACCTCAGAACTCGAATTTAATCTGTTCAGAACTCCGGATCAAATCCTAAAAAGTTCGAGTTGTGATCGAATTTTCCCTATAAGAAATAATGGAAAACCAAGTAATTGGTTCCCGGCCCCAAAAAATGACATCTAAATATGTTTTTTTTTTTTAGCATTTAAACACAAAATGAACCGGATAAAACAAGAAGAGCATATACTGTACTAAAGACATCTAAGCACATTTATCAAAACAGTCATTTGTAAAGTAAGAAAATAAATGTATCCAAACAATGTGTCCTGCCCCGATCGTCCACTCCCTCCGTGTGCCACACCCCTTCGTTAACCCCGTGTGGAATCCCCGTGTGATCAGCTGTTTCTGGGTGTTGCCATTAGTCCTCTGTATTTCGTCCGCGTTTCAGTTTGTTTCCCCAGTCCGGTCATTGTATTGTCCGTCTGCGTTTTGCCTGCCTTACCTGTAATTAAACCCCGTATTCCCCGATACCCTGACGTCTGCACCTTTGTCTCCGTTCCATCCCCTCTCGGCACGACAATATTATAATTAAACGTATTAATGGTTTATTACTAATATTTAAATAATGTTTAAATAATTTTACTGTCTAAATATATGTATTCAGTTAGTGTAAACATGCACAGTGCCATCACAGCTAATGCAAGGCTGAGACTTCTGAGATTCAGATAGAGCTCTAGGTAATTTTTTTCAAACTGGTTGGTTCGACTTTTAAGAAATTCGAGTTCTAATGAGTTTGAGAACTGAGGTACCACTGTATATAATAATTTTAAGCTCAGCACTTGCTGACTGTTGAGAACTTTCTGAGAACTGGTCATATCTTCTGTGTTATCAGTACTCATCAGTTCATGCCTGGTATACCAAACATTTGATAGGTTGCTAATAATTTGTTTTTTGCGTACTTAAACATGA